AATATTTAATGATCAAAGACGTACGAATAACAAAGGACGCCTAAGATTAAGTAAAATAAATACTGCAACACAGAGGAGTCAAAATATTGAATTTTTTCTTTTGTATTTTATTCATGGTAAGTATAGTAGACCAGAAGCTATAAGGTTATATCGCCATCATAAAATCATCCCATTGTGTCGAAGTTAAGTTGTTTATAATAGAAAAGGTTTTAGGGTCGTAAATAACGTGTCCACTGCAGCTCGACCGGCTGTTGTGGTTTCGTTCAGGGGCGGCTTTCACTAAATATGTAAATCCACCACTCCACTATTTCTTTACTACCTGCAGCCGCTGAGGGTTCCGAAATAACCACTCGCTTTGAAAACCGGCCGTGTTAAATATGAGCAGGAAATGTTTAGAAGACGATTTATTGCCAACCGATAAGCTTAGTGCGAACCACACAAAGGGGGTATTTATTTGCGGTCAACTACTTTTATGATGGTCAGTTAACCTTATACCTTTTGGACTAGTATACAATTCGTCAAAACCATACATGGTCGTATCAACTGGATTAAAAAAAAACATTGGTACTACGAGCCGAGTTGCACAAAACATATTTCATTTTGAACAATATTGGGTTTATGTAATAAGCGATGCAATGTAATACATAAAGTTGTTGTACCATAATAAATAAAATCCGCATAGGAAAGATAAAAGACACCAATTAGGATGATTTTTTTTTAACATTGTTTTTCTGCATTACGTCTTTTTAAATTGTTGGTGTTCAAATAATACATAAAATTTAACAGATTATTTGAAACTGTATTGTGAGAAGATATAAGTAGTAATAGCAAACTAAGTTTATATGGCTGAACTATGTATACCTAAACAAAAAAAGAGAAATTGGTAATAAACCAGTGTCTAACGCGATAAAGACAATTAAACTGCAAAATATCAACATAAAATTGTGTTTAAATTCTACGAGAAAGAGGCGATTGTGAAAGTCTGTACGAGTACCTGGCATCAGCTATTGCTATTGTAATAAAAAGGATAATCTCCTGCCGAGTTCTCCGCCCTCACGCAGCAGGGATGCCCTTATAGAGTAAGAAGTTTACCTACTAGTTTCCAGCGCTTTCAGTGTTTTTTTTTAAGGTTCAGTCAATTTAGACGCCTTTCGGAGGTGCAAATTTAATTATTTATGAAATAGAAAGCGCTAGTTAGATTTTTTACGTTGTACCGACTTTCTTCATCGCAATCAACCTCATATGGAAATGGAAAACCATTTTACAATATAAAAATTATTATGCTTTTATGCAGGTATTGAGAGGTTTTAAAACTTTGCTTAGTGTTGCGTTGCTTTAATTATTGTGGTTGCGAGAGGGGCTTGTTAGGTGCTTCGATAAATATATGGGTTTCGACATATGGTATTTGTAAACAAGAAAAATTGGTCTAAAGAGTTTAGACAGTACTTCCCTCGCTGTCGGAAACTTGACGACTGCATGCCTATTGTGTTTTTTTTCTCATTAGATTTTTGTAGTGGGAATTTAAAAAAAAATTGCGATGACGTCATCAACATTTTTGCAAGGACACGTATATCAGTTGGGATAGATGTAGTGTAATACTAAGAATAAAATTATTATATTCTCAAATTTTCGGGAAAATGAATTGGGTCGTTTTGAATATTGATTTGTAATAATCAATAAAATAACGAAACAATTTACTCACGTATACGTATCAGAGGCAACTGAAAATCGTGTATGTATAAACATTCTTAATTTAAGATGACAGGCGTAACAGCATACGTGAGAGTCAAACAGAGAAACTGTAAACAAAACGACCATCGGTTTTATTGCTTCGACTTCCGCTTATTATATAAAACATTGAGTTTTATTTTAATTCTTGACGGTGAAATTCACAATTGGTTGATTATAAACATGTCTATTTCACATTCGCGGAACCAAGTGAGCGCATAAAACAAATGCAGGACTGTAATGTTAAAGTCGATGTAAATAAGCGTGCTACCCTTATGTTTCAACCGAGTTTTTCCTTTAACAAATTTTGTGTCTACCAAATTGGGTTGGTTGGGGTGTAATACTAATAATAAGTGTTGCCTTTAATTTAATCAATAAAATAAATTGACTTCATTAATTTTTTTGAACCACCTCTTAAGAAAATCTAAAAAATATGAATGGAATGATAAATCACAAGTACAAACTCATCATATTTTTTGCATTTTAGATAGGATTTATTCAGCAAAATTTAAGGGTGACGTCATCAATTTTTTTAGGAGGGATGAACAAATACATTTTGAACAAAAGTTTACCATGCTTATAATAACTTTAAAATATTCCCAAGATTTCAAAGCATTCGGTTTTGTAATTCCTGATTAAATCGATAAAATAAATTCACGCCTTCATTATTTTTTTTTAGTCACCCTGCATATGCAAATCCAAAAATATGAATGGAATGATAAATCACAAGTACAGACTCATCATATTTTGTACATTTTAGATACGATTTATTCGGCAAACTTTTGAGCTGACGTCATCAGTTTTTTGTAGAAGATAACCAAATATATTTTGACTAAAAATTTATTATGCTCTTTATAACCTTAAAACATCTGCAAGATTTCAAAGCATTCGGTTTTGTAGTTCCTGATTAAATCAATAAAATAAATTTACGCATTCATTAATTTTTTTGAGTCACCCTGTATATGCAAATCGAAAAAATTTGAATGGAATGATAAATCACAAGAAGAGACTCACCATATTTTGTACATTTTAGATAGGATTTATTCAGCAAAATTTTGTGGTGACGTCATAAATTTTTTAGGGGGGACGACCAAATACGTTTTGATCAAAAATTTACCATGCTTATGATAATTTTAAAATATCTTCAAGATTTCGAAGCATTCGGTTTTGTAGTTCCTGAGTAAATCAGTAAAATAAATTTACGCTTTCATTTATTTTCTTGAATCACCCTGTATATGCAAATCCAAAAAATATGAATGGAATGATAGATCACAAGTACAGACTGATCATATTTTGTACATTTTAGATATGATTTATTCGGCAAATTTTCGAGCTGACGTCATCAAGTTTTTGGAGGGGATAAGCAAATATATTTTGACTAAACATTTATTATGCTCTTTATAACCTTAAAACATGTGCAAGATGTCAGAGCATTCCGTTTTGTAGTTCCTGATTAAATCAATAAAATATATTTACGCATTCATTAATTTTTTTGAGTCACTCTGTATATGCAAATCCAAAAAATATAAATGGAGTGATAAATGACAAGTACAGGCTCATCATATTTTGTACATTTTAGATATGATTTATGCCACAAACTTTTGAGCTGACGTCATCAAGTTTTTGGAGGGGATAAGCAAATATTTTTTGACTAAAGATTTATGATGCTCTTTATAGCCTTAAAACATCTGCAACATTTCAAAGCATTCTGGTTAGCAGATTAAAAATTAAATTTCAAAATGTTGTTTTATAATTTTGATTTTTTTTCCAAAAATCTGGACGTTTCGGGTGAAAAGTCGATTCAGAGTTGTAAACTACATGTGTAGGACTATGTTATTTTATACAATTGAAAACCCATTTACTATGTACAATTTTGAAGTGACGTCATCGCATTAGTGTTGGGGATGATTAGACAAATTTTGGTTAGCGTTTTACCATCTACATGATATTCTTAATATAAGTACAAAATTTTACAACAATCGGTCGAGTACTTTCGGAGATTATCTGTCTAATAAAAATCCGGGGGCAGACGGACAGACGGACAGACGGACGGACAGACGGACAGACAGACGGACGGACAGACGGACGGACAGACGGACGGACAGACGGACGGACAGACGGACAGACAGACGGAAATGGGAGACCTATTTCTTCGTCTTCTAGAGGTCATGAAAGATCGAGAAAACGTAAAAGTAGAGAGTCGGCTGACGGACTCGATTACAATACTTCCTTTGTTTACGCTCGGGAAGTAAAAATACAATTCCAATATAAATTTTAAAGCTATTTACAACTGACTATGGATTCACTGGAGACGAGTGGAATAATCAAACAACCAAAATTTAAAAGAACCTAAAAATTTTGCACAATTGCAATACAACTTTAGACCTTTTGAATTTAGTGGCATTGAACAATTTTAATTGATTTGTTACGAGACATAAATATTTTAAAAGATACACGTGTTGCAGTTCGATTTGAAGTTAATTTCTTTCTGTTCTAAAGCTGTGTGGCTTTGAAGTTCATTACATAATTAATAGATTAAAATCAATAACTTCATCCCGAGACCGGGTAACTCCTTTACGAAAGGCACACATTTTAATGAATAAAAAATGAAACAATATATCGACGGAAACCAACACAAGAATTTTTTTAATCACTTTGTTATTAAACCTTTAAAAAATCAAGTTCATCAAATATTCACAAAGTGACAATGTAGAATTTATATTGAATGTAATTGCACGACTAGCTAAAAGGGGTGGAATGTCTTCATAAAAATTTCTAGAGACGTATGTACCTATATAAGAGTAACTGAATAAAAACTTCTCATTTCAAACGTGTCTCTTATTCTGAAACAATAAACTGATATGGTGAACATAATACACAAAAGTTTCGGTTTAAACTTAAAAGTGTTAAACATTATGGGATTGTATTCGAATGGAAAAAGTTCAGTGTTTTTGAGAATACGGGCTTACACTTTATATTTAGTATTGTTAGTGTTGACCACAATATTAATAATTATAAAAACTCTAACATCAAGAAGCTCGAACAACCTGGAAACTAATGCGATGTTAATAATTATAACGGATTGTATTTCGATCTTTTTTAAGCTCCTACCGTTCCTTCAAAATAGTGAAAGAATTAAAAGGTGCATCAATTTTTTCGAAGAGAAGAATTTTGCACCAAAAACAGAGCACGAAAAGAAAATTATAGACGAGTGTATTCGGGTGTGTCACAGAAATTCAACTTTTTATTTTTATGCTGCTTTCCTGACAGTTATGGGATGGAATGTCCCTCCGTTCTTTGCTAAGGGACGAAAGCTTCCGTTACGTCTGTGGTTACCATATGACCCCTCATCTACCAGTGTGAACTACTATTTTACAGTGGTTTTCATTGCTATAGGTATAAAAAAGTTGTGTATATATATACCAGAACCGACATTTTCATTTACAGCAACTCTGTATGATGGTTCTAGCACAATCATGGATCCATTGCTTGGTGGTCTAGTGTATCATGCGACAGGTCAGCTAAAGATTTTGAAATATAACTTACAGCATCTTGATAAGCATCTAGAACATAACTTAAGCAAAAGTAGTGAACAAGTCATAGAATTCCACTCTGTCTACAAACACCTAGAAAGTTGTATTGAACACCATAAGCAAATTTTGTGGTAACTATAGGTACAGGTATTGGTTACAATTTTATCTTCGTAAAAAATTTGCAGGTTTGTAGACGAATATGAAGAATGTTTCTCTTGGAGCATATTCTGCCAGTTTTCTGGAAGTATGCTTTGTGTATCTTTTTTTTGCATTAGCCTAATCCTTGTTAGTTAAAATATTATTTTCACTTGAATCTTATGTACTTTTAAAATCTTTTCTTAGGTTCCATTCAACAGCGTAGAAGCTTTGACATATGTTGTGGCAATATTTACTGTAACTTTTGAAATACTATTTTACTGCCATTACGGTACACTGCTATATGAGGAGGTAAGGCATAAGTCAACTTACAAATTTATTTTCACCATGCTGAATTTGTGTTTTTAGAATAATGATCTAATCAACGCGATTTGTATGGGACCGTGGTATAAATATGACGTTAAAATCCGAAAAAGTTTGTTAATTATAATGGAACGCTCCAAACGGCCACTGCGTATTACCGCTGGAAAAGTGGTAGACGTTACAATCCGAACATTTGTATCGGTGAGTTTTTGGCTTGGTGGTAAATGCTTTTTAATTTAATGTTTATTTTTTCAGATTTTGAAAACAAGTTATTCGTTGATTGCTGTTTTCAATAGTTATTATTAAAAGTGGCATATCCAGAATTTTTTATACTTGATAATTATGTTCTTTAATTTTAACCTTTTATCAACTTTTGAATTTGCTGTTAGAACATGTATTTATTTTTTGTGTGTAATGTAGACTAATCGTATTTCTTGTCGTCAATAAAAATTAATATACATATTTAACCTAATAAATAACATAACAGTATAGATTGGTAAAAACAGATCTCTTAAAACCTGCTGAACTTAATCGTGCTTTACTTGTAAACATTTATTATACAGTGTGATGAAAAAATGACGTTTATTCTCGATGCTACGTTGTTAAGAAGGCTTTGAAAAACTTGAAAAAACGGTTGCAAAATCCCCCCAATTAACGACAAAGTTAAAGAATCAGCTTCGTCATTTTGATTTGTTTTAATGAAGTACATTGTCTAATAAACAGTTAAATAATTGCAGTTTTTACCGGAATTTTAGATTTTTCTTTAAATTCACATTAAAATATATCAGAATTCTCTTCAATTTTGAAATTTAATATTTTCAAAAATTTCGTTCATAGATTTTTTTTAACAATTTTTTTCAAAAAAGGTGAACTTATTTAAGTGTAAGTCGATACGTAGATTCATTTGTAAACATTTCTAACAAAAAATTAAATTTAAATAATTATATCAGTGTAAAATCCTTGAACGTTCAGATATTAAATACAATTCATAAAATTGTATACGTCGGGTCCCACTATCACACGTTGCATCAGTATGATATCATTAAAACATGAAACAAAGAGGTGATTTACTTGTAGTTTCCTTTAGTGATACTGATTCTTTTATCAATAAAAATTAATTTTATAATCGTTTATATGTTTTAAAAATAATATAAAAAGTTATGGTTACCTACATTACTGATTGTTAGTTGTGTCATTTGGAACAGATCCCGTTTTGTAGAAGTTATCTTGAAACTTTATTTTTTAATGCTAAATGGACTGAGCTTAAAACGGTGGCTGTAACTGGTATATTTTTGACTATTTTTGGATACTACTGAATTTATAGTCAAACTCATATTGATATTCAAACTTATAAGGACATTATTATTGCCTGAGGAATGAACCGTCTCTTAGCAGATTATACTTTTCTTGTGGATCGGTAAGGAAAAATTTTGAGTGTAACATTTCTTGATAATTTAATTACACATAAAAATTCTCTCTTTATACTTTTTGGGATTAAAGATTCTAATTTTCTAAAAACTATCTACCATCAGGTGACTATTAATGATCGAAGCAAATTTTTGTGTTGGTGATTCTGAATTTTTGGCATCCCCGCTAGTAGTTCATAGTTGTCAATTTTGACACGAGTATGCCAAAGAAATATGTTAATTGGTTGACAATGGCAGCTGTCATAAATGTCCCTTAACAATCAGATATGCCATCATAAAATTTTAAATAGGTTGCCAATCTGACAAAAAAAAAACTCATAAACATTAATAAGTCAAGTATGTTAATTTTTTATATAAGGGGGAATTTGTTCCAAAGCATAATTTCCAAGTTCTCATGATCTACTAATCGCCTAGATTTTTTTTTTCAATAATTTAACAAAATTAAGTTACATATACATCCTCCTCTGAAAATTATCAATGAGATATTATGAAGAGTAAATAGAACATTTTTTTAGAAAGACTAGAATTGTAATAGACAAACATGAAGCTTAGAGAATACTAAAATATGCAGCTGTTGCTCTCAACTCGGCTACATGGATTTCACAGTTAGGATACATTTTTTTCACCCTCTGATAGAGTGAGTGGTTACATAATAAAAGGAGCCTACTGACCAAATTTCATGTTTCTAGCTTCAGTAGTTTAGGCTCTGTGTTATTGATGAATCAGTCTGTCAGTCAGGACAAATACTTATATGTATATAGACAATCCTCGACATCCCTGTCGCCTATTTACCTGTTTCTTGTCGATTTTATTTACAATAATTTTGAAAATTACAAGACTAATTACGTGAAATTTCAAACATGCTCTAAAATTATCGTGTTAATGGCGAAACGTTAACCAGGACTTGTCTATTTATCGCCACAAAAAAATTTGAATACTGTAGACAGTCAAAATTACGTGTACTTACCAAAAAAGAAGTTAACAAAAATATCACATACATCATTATAATATTATTTGATTAAATAATAAAATTCATTGAATCAGATTTTAAAGATCAACAGAACTGATCGCGTCATGTCATATCTACATGGATTATTCACATCTGTTGTATCTGTGTTCTGCTTGGGCCCACATAACATCTACGTTGGTTCCGTTGATGATGGATAACATACACTTACTGAGCTTGCATGCATATTCTAACGACATTCACACATCACAAAAAATAGAACTTAAACTTTGAGATTTTTTATTCTACCTAAAAATATCCACAGTTCGTTAATTAAATTTCTTAGATTCCGGCAGTTTCTTCAATATAGCTGCGAAGAGCAGGTACATTAGAGTATACACCAGGGTAGTTAGGTCTGGCACATCCATATCCCCATGAGACAATTCCAGCAAGTGTGTTACCGATAACCAATGGGCCGCCAGAGTCTCCTAGGCAAGCGTCTTTGCCACCACCGCTGACACCAGCGCACAACATACGATCAGTGATGCTACCATACCCATAAACAGCACTGCAAGCCGATTGGCTGATGATTTCGACGGTGACTCCTTGCAAAGAGCTAGGAAGAGAGCTAGATCCTTCTGAAGTGCTACCCCAACCAGTTACAAGAGACGTAGTACCAGCGGGCCAGCTCGTGCTGGCTGATGGAAGGCCGACGGCGGCGACGTCGCTGTTTAGAGTCAAAGCAGAAGACAGTTGCAAAACAGAAATATCGTAGTCGATCAGTCTGTCGTTGTAGTTGGGGTTTTGGTAAATTCTGGCGACGTTGACGACTTGACCGCCGGATCCGCGATTCGATGTACCGGCACGGATCGACAGCTGACTGGCAGACGATCTGCAAAGACGCAAAGAGATTATTAAAAATATCAAATGGAAAATTAAAATGACTACCCATCAGTGCAGTGAGCAGCGGTAACAACCCAGTTAGCAGAAATTATGGAACCACCGCAAATGTGTGAGCTGTAGTACTGAAGGGAAACTTGCCATGGTACTTCGTCGATAGAAATAGACGAACCTCCTATAATCCTACCATCAGGAAGAAGGCTGTTCTTCGCGCGAAGGTAAGATGGTACTGCTGCAATATGAATAAAATGAAATACTTAATTACAATTTGAAAAATAAAACGTATGCTGTTTACCTGAAACAGATGCTACTAGAAATACAACGAACACAAACGACGTCATGATTGCGAATGCCTACCCGATGGTCTTGAGTGGATTTTATAATAAAAAGGTGATCATATTTTTAATTCCACAAAGTTTAGATATGAGTGTCAGGTTTTAAATCATTATAAATACTTATTTCAAAATCATCTCGCCAGATGCAACTAAGTACCTAATCTGTCAGAAATTGATAAAATGGATTTCGCGCTAAATCATAGAAGCATTTATTTAAGTTGAACCAACTTTTGACACTGGCGTAAGGATATATTCGTAACAATATTGTGATTTCAATATTTACTCATTTAAATAAAAAAACTAAAGATCCAGATTCAATTTGGATAATCTTCTACAGGAAAGTACCTACCGAATATCTATATCAAAAACGCTTAGACGAATACCTCATTCCCTCAGAAGATATGACTTTTGAAGAAGTCTATAACAATCTTATAGATAGTATACAACAACGCTCACAAGAAGCGCTAGGAATGAAACAAAGACAGAAAAGTAATAAAACATGGTGGACAGAAGAAATAGCACAGTTAACAGAGAACAAAAAGAAGATAATATGTTAATCACGATTTTGCTAAAGACTGCATTCATCCTGTTGGGTGAAATGTTTATGTTTATTTGTATTAATAGATATTCTAAATTTATGTTTGCACACGTCAGAATAACTAAAGGATTCGATCACTGAGGAATTCATAGTAAGTGTAATAGCTTGTTGTAGAATTTTGGGCCTCAATAGCTGCCAGTGCAACGACTCTTATTAACACGAGGAAAGTAAATGTAAGTCAGTGCATTGTCTCATGTCTGAGTGGTGAGTTTTACTACACATTTGTAACTGTTCCACATGAGACTAAATATATAAAAGCGAGATTAGAATATATGGTAGTAATATTACATACTCTGATAGCTTTTCTTTGCACTCTAAATAAGCTCTCGCAATGGGAGGGACCACTAACCAAAATAATTTGGATTATTAAGATTCGAGGAAACGTATTCCAAAGAAAAGCATGCTATCATACATCATTTTGACATTATTTAGGATTTGTTTTTGATGACCAAACCAGTGCCAAAGTGTGTTTTTGATAGCAGTAAATTCAGCATGCAGTGCCAGTAGGTCCTCAGAAAATTTTAGATTAGTGTCATGTGCATATAGTATGAGTTTACCATCTTTAGTTATTTCTTTTATCTCATTAATGTAGATAAGGGAAAGTAAAGGGTTCTAAGAACGAGCCTTGTGGTACAACTAAGTCTATTCTATTGGCAGGTAAATACTTTCTGCGTCATTTAAATTTACCAACTGCGATCTTTCAATAAGGAATGAGAGTATCAAATTTAGTGCACCTCCATTTACATTATATTTTATTAATTTAGTGGACAGTCAAAAGCTTTACATGTACAGTACAGTTGGAATAGATTATTGGCGATATTACTTTGCCTCAACATGAAGGAATAGCCACCAAAAGATCAATAGTTTTGCCGGGGGAGTTGCTACAAAGTATTAACAAATCGCGTGTTATTATTATGTAATTTAATTTAATTTATTTACTTTACGGGATACCCCCTATATTACACATAAAGTATTTATCCAATGAGTGCTAAGAAATTATTACATTGAAATATAAATAATATAGATAAGAATTAATTAAAAAAATAAATAAATAAAAAGAGATTATTAAAAAAAAATATTAAATAAAAATAAAATTACTA